ACTGAGTTAGACTAGTCTGGGAAACCAGTAACGATCATGGCTCTCAGTCGGCTTGTTTGGAACTTGGTGTATTTGTTTGTCCACTAGCCAAAAGTTTAACAAATGTATGTAGTCATGGTAACGATCATGGCTCTCAGTCAGTTTGTGTGGAACTTGGTGTATTTGTTTATCCACTAGTTCAAATTTTATAGTCATAGTAACAACACTTTCGTTAGATTCTGTTTTCTTCTTCAGTTGTAGAAAGTCTGTGATGATAATTTACGTAAAATGTGATCACATTAAATCATTCATCTCGTTTTATTTTTCTAAGGTCAGTTTAGGTCCTAACTCCTCTGGTTTCATGACCCTGAACTGCGCTGTATTTCTTCTTTAGCCACTGAAATAAAAACTGAGATTTGCAGCGCACATTGACACTAACTTAGTCGAAGCATCTGCCATACAAGCAGAATCACGTGTTCGAATCCAGCCCGATGGAATTTGTTCACATTTCAGGAAATGTCTTAAAGCATAGAAATACACGCTCCTCTTATTATGTCTGTATTTAAACCAGCAAATAACCATACAAGTGTGTGTGTATTTTGTTTTACAGAAACTTGTGGTGTGACATGTACATGTTTGTATGAACTGTGTTACAAAAACCTCGAACAATCAATATCCTGCACTTGAAGAGGAAGTGGTTGAAAATAGGCCTAATACCACGCATGCGTGCAACTTCGTCTAATATTTTATTTTTTCTGAAACTTGCTGCGATCCTTTCACTACATATTTTATTGGAGTAATTTTCCTGTACTTAGCACGATCCTGAAAGAGAGCTATTACGACTCACGAGTACGTAGCGCCTCAGGTAACCAGTATATCTATTCTTCAAACACTTATTACAATGCACGCTACTTTTGTCAAATAGATTACATTGCAAACACTATATATATATATGTGTGTGTGTGTGTGTGTATAAGTTGTACACTGTCAGAAGTCTGGTCTTCGTCTTTGGTTTGTGCATGTCTAAGTATGTTGATCAAGGGTAAAATTCTCAAAACTGATGTAACTCAGTAGCATGTGTCTCTCAAACTAGTCTAACTCAGTGTCATGTGTTTCTCAAACTAGTCTAACTCAGTGGCATGTGTCTCTCAAACTAGTCTAACTCAGTGTCATGTTTACAAATGTATGTAGTCATGGTAACGATCATGGCTCTCAGTCAGTCTTGTTTGGAACTTGGTGTATTTGTTTGTCCACTAGCCAAAAGTTTAACAAATGTATGTAGTCATCCCACCAAACATGCTCGCCCTTTCAGCTGTGGGGGCGTTATAATGTGACGGTCAATCCCACTATTTATTGGTAAAAGAGTAGCCCAAGAGTTGGCGGTGGGTGGTGATGACTAGCTGCCTTCCCTTTAGTCTTACACTGCTAAATTAGGGACGGCTAGCGCAGATAGCCCTCGTGTAGCTTTGCGCGAAATTCAAAAACAAACAAGTTATTATTTTAGTAATTTGGAGACTGGAAACAATCTCATTTTTATTGAATTGTGTATAAAATAATCGTTGTTTTTTAAAACAAATTGTGAGTTTTTAAGATGATGGTTTCCTGTTATCTTTGGGGAAGATTATGTACATTTGTTGATAATTTCTTCTTTCCTTTTTTTTAGGGAAGATTGTATAGCAGTTCGAGAACTTTTCTGCTACAACCAGTGGGCTCAGATCGAAGATAACAAAGAAAGGGGTATCTACTTTCAATCACGTGGTCACTTCAGGCTGCCATATTGCGAATCCCTGCCCAGTAGGAGAAACTCCACTGTCTCCCCCTGTTCACAGTCGCGCCTGACGGAAATGAGAGAAGATGACATTACAAGTGAGGGTTAATAATTCATGGATATTTATTACTTGATATAGATATTTCAAATGAAACGGAAGAGGGCGCCACAAATCAATATCACAATGAGATTTGTTTATTAACCATTACGCGTTTCTAAGCCTTTTTATACGAGGGTATTGATTTTTTTTTTAAATTGAAGAAAAATAATTATTTGAACGAATATTTTTATTTTCAGTTTAAATGCTAATTTGAATTTTTAATAACAAATGACATTCACGTTTCGTGACGATCAACCAATCAACTACATTCGATCATAAAGAGCCAGTCATAACATTAATGTTTTTCTTAATATGTTTTCTCACCGCTACTGGCACTGCTGACCTGTTGGAGTTAAAAAGGATAGACAGACTGTTTGTTTGCGGTTAAGCACAAAGCTACACAATGGGTGCGGGTATCGAAACCCGAAGTTAAGCGTTATAATCCCTCAAACTCACCACTGACCCACAGGGGCAATGTTCCCCCTATTTTTTTTCATACAATGTGCGGGTGGATTTTTTCATGTGCACTACCAGTTTTTCTTTCTTTTTTCTTGGAGGGGGGGAGTATTTTTAGACCATCAACCCTATTTAATCATTACGCCGACTTTGCAATGCTACCAGTTGGCTATTTGGGCTCTATCCGTATCGCCTGCCAAGGTCATTAAGGTTGTCAACGTGTTGAGACTCCTCACCATTAATGACGATGTAGGCGGCATTTGATTGGTTGTTGTGTGGCCGCGCGCAGCTCAGAGGGAACAATGCACAGGGGTCCTATTTGAGAGATACTAAACCACCGGGGGGGGGGGATTAGATAATTAATTTTATAATGATCCTGATGGATTAAAATCTGTTTACACCGGGAAATAATAGTGAAGAGAAAAATCTGGTGTAACACAACTCCACCCTCTCTCACCCACCCACCCCACCGAGTTGCAGAAAATCTGAACAAATATGATATTTGTTGATGAACTTGACAAATTTCAAGTGCAGACTTCAGACTAAAATACGTTTTTAAATATAAACAAATTAAGTCTAGATAATATATTTTATTTTTTTATTATCTCCAGACACAGAAATGGTACAGAATAGAATAACCTTTACATGACGTTTCTTCTGATGTCACTATTGACTAGATTCTGTAATCTTCTTGATACAAATATGGTTGAAATAAGTTGTGTCCAAGAGATTTGTTTCTAAGCAATTAGAATTAGCAACAATTATAAACAGTTATATGTATGTTATTTAACTACAAAAAATAAGAACCCCCTTTTGGAGTACAGGTAAACCTTAATTCCACGAGCCGCTATATCTACAGTGCTACCTCTAGAATTCACGTATGTCCGTTCCTGGCATGTGCGGTAGTTCAGGGGGTCCCTCCCCCCAGGGACCTATGTACCGTATATTTACTGACCATAATCAATTCGAGTCAGGAATGAACGATTTCACATAAACAATTATATCAAAGACAGTAATACTCAACACTACAGTAGCACGCTATCTTTGTGTTAGTGGTGATCTGGACGGGGAGGGTGTGGTAGGAGGAAGGTGAAGCTAGTTGACCACCCTTTGGCCAAAGACCGTCCGAGCCAAAAATGTGCTGATACTTTAAGTTTGCGGTAAGTTAAACTGTAGAGGTGTAGCAATGTACGTGCAAGTTAATATCTTATGACCTTAGCCCAACATAGTGGATTAGGAAGGAGTTACAAAGTGGGTGGGAGCTTCGCTAAACATTCAGATTTTACAATGAGAGATTGAAAATATAAGAAGCTGCTATAAGAAGTAGCTCCCGTGCTGCCAAATGCAGCTCAGTCGGTGGGGGGGTCTGAGGGGATGTGCCCCCCCGAGTGCGGGAACTAATTGTCTATAATATGGAGATTTGAAAAGCAATATTACAATTGTCAAGATTATACCTATAAGACAAGAAGTTAGTGGTAAGTTTCGTAGCTTATGACCCTAAAATTCGAGCTTCGATCCCCATCCTAAAACAAACATCAGACAGAAGTGTAAGTGGTGATGATTTATGACAGTGACTACTTTTACTCAATATAACATAAACGTAGGGCGAGTTTAAAGCTAATTTTCATGTATTTTTCTTTTTTCAGCGGAGTGTGTTTCTGGAAGAGGGCGCTATTATCAAGGAACGGTGAATGTCACCAAATCAGGGATTGCCTGTCAGAGATGGGACTCGCAGGTAAGTCAACATTAAATTATTACACATTTTTTGCTGAAACAACCTTTTTAGTAGGAAACGGTGATGAGGAAATATGACTAAGAATACAGTTTTACAAATGTATGTAGTCATGGTAACGATCATGGCTCTCAGTCAGTTTGTTTGGAACTTGGTGTATTTGTTTGTCCACTAGCCAAAAGTTTTACAAATGTATGTAGTCATGGTAACGATCATAGCTCTCAGTCAGCTTGTTTGGAATTTGGTGTATTTGTTTGTCCACTAGCCAAAAGACATCTCCTCCTTGATGGAACCTTGCCGCACTGCTGCAGAACAACTTCTGTGTGCCTACGCCTTCCCACAGTGCCACCTAGTGGAGGGATTTCAAACAGGGAAAGGACTTTGTAGGCGAGTAAATTAAAGTAATATTTATTATGCTATGTGTCCTTTGTATCTATTGCCACATAGAAATATACTTAATGAATTATTAGACATCGAAAGGATTGGTATAAAAATACATTATGTATGTCTTGTTAGGACCTAGTAGATGTTTTGTTTTGCTTTTAATTCAACAAGCCTTGGTAAGCTGCTGTGATTGTTTGCACTGAAAATATTGCTGAACTGTCTTCTGTGTTATAGTTTCAAAAGATAAGCAAATACTTTGTACAAACCATGCATCCTTTTATCATTAGGTGTATTGAACGTACACTGTAATAAACCTTACATGCCGTTAGCTTTACATATGATGGACGAACAATATATGCAAGCCACACAGATCTTTGATTACGTTATATCAAAACAATTTTGAATATGCAAATCAGCAAGTCGTATGATAACCACAGCCGATATAAAGTCGCGGTGGAACAGCGAATCAATAAAAATTCCCGTCTGGAAAAGCGACACCAGTCACGTGCATACCAGTTGCTTCCACATATCCTTCAAAAGTGGCATACCTCAAGCGGCTGAAGAATGAAACGGTTATTCATGCTATTCCATAAGAGGACACATCGGTCAAGGCGCCAGACGCAGTGCCTGTGAATTTCTGTGCGATCGAAATGTTGAAAAGGGGATTGAGAAGCCGTCGTCTTCGTACACTAGATGGCTTATGGAAAGAGTCAGGGAGGTGTGGTGTGCTTTGGACATGTTCTGCTAAAGGTGATATTGTAATATATAGGACAAACTAGAAGACATTTAAAATTCAGACTGAATGAACATAAAAGAAATGTTAAAAATAATAATATTACTGTTTCACCTTTAGCAGAACATATTAATAAATCTAATCACATAATTCAATAGGAAAAAAATTGTTATTTTAACACAACCTGGAAATGTAATTGGTATGAATATACGTGAATCTATTGAGATAATTAAATGTAAAAAAGTAAATTTAAATTATTGAATAAGGATGATGTATCTGATAGAAATGTTGTCAGCAGATGGCGTGACATTATTTAATATGTTAATTGGTGTTTTGATAACTGTATAAATAAGTTGTTATTTTTTGCAAAACATTACACTCCTGAGGATGACACAAGATATACGTCGAAACTTGTAGAGTGTATGAGATTGTTTTCCAATCACGTTGGGTTTTTTGGCACTTTTTAACCTTGTTCAGTAAGTTATTATTTCAGAGGCCCGGCATGGCTAGGTGGTTAAGGCATTCGACTCGCAATCTGAGGGTCGCGGGTTCGAATCCCTGTAGTTCATCCCACAAATTCTGTGTGATTTCCTCATTAATCCCTGGTGTGGTGTCGCTGAAGTTGTAATAAACAAGCCCAGAGTTATTTAAGTAGGCCTTGCACACCTTCCCGACATAGGGGGAGCAGTATCCTTGTGGTTCTCTAGTTTTACTATCAAACACCGAGTCCTCCCGTTCTTCAGTTTCGATATTTTCAGTCCTCGTTTCCTCTTCTGGTTCTGTAAGAAAAACCGTTCCCATATAATTAAAACCAACTGATCCTTAGGGTTAGCAACGCGGCCTTGTTAGAACGCGAGTAATAACTTTTATTTATTTAGTTATTTGGTTAAACTGAAAATGATTTAGTTACCTGATTTGGGAAGAAGATGATAATGACTCATCTAGTTACCTGGCTCGGGAAGAACGTGGATAATGACTGATCTAGTTACCTGGCTTGGGAAGAACGTGGATAATGGCTGATCTAGTTACCTGGCTTTGGAAGAACGTGGATAATGACTGATCTAGTTAACTGGCTCGGGAAGAACGTGGATAATGACTGATCTAGTTACCTGGCTTGGGAAAAACGTGGATAATGACTGATCTAGTTACCTGGCTTTGGAAGAACGTGGATAATGACTGATATAGTTACCTGGTTTGAGAAGAACGTGGATAATGACTAATCTAGTTACCTGGTTTGGGAAGAACGTGGATAATGACTAATCTAGTTACCTGGTTTGGGAAGAACGTGGATAATGACTAATCTAGTTACCTGGTTTGGGAAGAACGTGGATAATGACTGATCTAGTTACCTGGCTTGGGAAGAACGAGGTTAATGACTAATCTAGTTACCTGGTTTGGGAAGAACGAGCATCATGACTGATATAGTTACCTGGTTTGGGAAGAACGTGGATGGTAAACTCTTTGCTGTCTGACCGAGTCTGGTTGGTACTTCGTAGTAAGTTAACCGCTTTACACAGAAACGAAGCTGACATTCTAGCAGTAAAGGATAAAACTGAATGGAAGTACTCTGGCTTCCTGGTAGACAGCTGTAAAAAGTGTAACATACATTTAAGTCAGATGTTTATAAGATCCAAGTTAATAAGTATTTCTTCGTCAGTCTTAAACCACAACGGAAGCTAAACATTAAGTTCTCGGACATCATACTCTCCTGTACTTTCTCTCTCACACAATGTTTGAACAAGCTAAAAACTTTTGAAACAGACCATTACAACAAAAATCACAAATCCCTGATGGTTGCTCTTCCTAATCTTGTATAGACAAATCCCTGACTGTTGCTCTTCCTAATCTTGCATAGACAAATCCCTGACTGTTGCTCTTCCTAATCTTGCATAGACAAATCCCTGACTGTTGCTCTTCCTAATCTTGTATAGACAAATCCCTGACTATTGCATCAGGGATTTGTCTATACAAGATTAGGAAGAGCAATAGTCAGGGATTTGTCTATACAAGATTAGGAAGAGCAACCATCAGGGATTTGTCTATACAAGATTAGGAAGAAGGTTGCTATTCCTAATCTTGTATAGACAAATCCCTGACTGTTGCTCTTCCTAATCTTGCATAGACAAATCCCTGATGGTTGCTCTTCCTAATCTTGTATAGACAAATCTCTGACTATTGCTCTTCCTAATCTTGTATAGACAAATCCCTGACTATTGCTCTTCCTAATCTTGTAGACAAATCCCTGATAGTTGCTCTTCCTAATCTTGTATAGACAAATCCCTGATGGTTGCTCTTCCTAATCTTGTATAGACAAATCCCTGACTATTGCTCTTCCTAATCTTGTATAGACAAATCCCTGATGGTTGCTATTCCTAATCTTGTATAGACAAATCCCTGACTGTTGCTCTTCCTAATCTTGCATAGACAAATCCCTGATGGTTGCTCTTCCTAATCTTGTATAGACAAATCTCTGACTATTGCTCTTCCTAATCTTGCATAGACAAATCCCTGATGGTTGCTCTTCCTAATCTTGTATAGACAAATCCCTGATGGTTGCTATTCCTAATCTTGTATAGACAAATCCCTGATGGTTGCTATTCCTAATCTTGTATAGACAAATCCCTGACTGTTGCTCTTCCTAATCTTG